AAAAAGCAATTATCGGGAGGTAACCTGATTTCTTATTTCTTTTTATTTTTCTTATAGTTAATTTATATTTTTGCTTTTACTCACCAACATTATTAACAATTTTTGTTCCTTTCATTTTTTTAGTGAAGGTATTCCTTAAAAAAATTACTGCAATAGCAAAAACCGAAGCCCACTCTACGGCCCTGTGCCGCGCCTTCCCAACCCCCTCCGCAACCATTGTCAGCTCGCAGGCCAGCCTGCGGCCACGGGTTTTTGCAAAGCAGGCCATTAAAACAAACAGAAAAAAAAGGACGTAAGTTTTTTTTTCTCCACCTCTCTCTTCTCTCTCTCCTCTCCCTTTGCCACCTTCACCACAACCGCACCCACCACCGTCGCCCTACCCTACCGACGACCACTACCCACCACCCTTTCTCTCTCCTATCACCATCTCTCACCATAACCTTTCTCTTCCTTTAAATTTCAATAACCCTAACTTTTCAAATTGAATTGGGATTTTGCAATTAAAGGTGAGTGACATGAAATTGAAAATTTTGGAGGTATCATTGGACTATTATAAGAGGTTTGACATATTTTTAATGCACAATTCTCATTGTAGAGGTATAAATTTCAAAATTTTCATCTCTTATTATTCTACAATTGTGTTTATTCTTGAGTTTTAACCTTTTTATTATCTATTTTCACAACTTGGTGTGGTAGTGTTGATTTTGTGTACTTTCTTTGTGTGGATTGATTGCGAATTATTTTGGGTGACACATATTTGGCTTTGAAATATTCTTGTTCATTAGTTTGTGATTCTTTGTTGATTAAACTTCTCATCACGTTCCCCATGAAGACAAGAACACAAACCTCTTAGGCACCCAAGCCACTCTATGACCCCAACACATACTCTAAAAAAATCACAAAAAAAAAAACCACCCACCAAAACCACAAAATGACCTACATAATCAAATCCAACCTCTAAAACCTCCACACCTAAAACACCATCTAGAGTCCAACCTCTTCCTCCATCACCATCAACTCCACTTTCTTGGTTAACCAAGTCTCAAAAACAATGTGCAAAGAAGCTTAAAGATCAAACCGTGGGACACACTCTTTACTTCTCTCTCAGACGCTAAAAACCTTGGGTTCGACTGGTTGTTTGATAGCATTGTAAGAACACATGGGTGGAGTGAGGTCCTTCGTATTGATAATGATATATGTCCATCACTTGTCATTGAATTTCTTGACTCACTTGATGTTAAATCAAGTAAGGGAGATGTGGTATTTTCTTTAGATGGAGATGAACGGATAATGTCGTGGGATGATGTGAATACGGCTTTTGGATGGCCGAATAAAGGTGTCATGGGTCCAAAAGAGTATATGATATTCAAGGGAAATCCAAGCTACTCTATCTTTAACTCGAGCACTTTTTGGAAACAAATAACAGGTCCAACAAATTGGGAGTCCGGTGTTAGCAAATCTAGTTCTATTGGTTGTCCAGCTCTTCGCATGCTACATCGATTTATCCTTCAGTTATTTTGACCTAAGAGTGAGGCCGTCCAGGTAACTACATTGGACTTAAAACTTCTATGGTGGCTCACTAGATCTCATGGAAATGCAAGCCTCAATCTCGCCAAATTCCTCATTGAAGCATTTTTATGGGAGCGAGATATGAAGAAGGGTGATATATCCATGGGTGGATTTGTTTCTGTGTTGTGTGCGGCATTAGATGTTTATTTGAAAAATAAAAAGACATTCGAATCCATCAACTACATCAATCAGGCTGCAAAAGATAGATTCGGTTGGCTTTTTTACTAGTCCAAGGGTCGATATGTTTGATTTGTTAAGGGTTTCCGAAGTTCTAATGTAATGTTGGTGTACGACATTTTCCCGAATGATGCACCCTGTGATGCAATTAGTCTAAGTTGGAAACCACGTGAGATCACCGAGCAAATAGAGGTACACAGTGAAGTGCAACGTACTTTCCCTTGAACATTGCCAATCGGCGGCCGCTAGACCAAATAAACCGGTGGTTGAAGATACCTCTCCTCCTCGCCCTCCACCATCTTCTAGCAACCCAACTTTTAGTTTTACGACAGCTCCACTCACTCTTGATGAGCAAATGAAAATTTTTATGGATTCTTGTCTTTCTTTTCAGGATTCAGGTTTCACACGACTCACCACCATTGAAGGACAAGTACCTGATCTATATGCTGAGATTCGTGATTTGCGTCGCCATGTTGGAGTTCCTAAGGCCACTGTTTCTACTGTTGTCACTGCTACAATACCTAATGGTAGTAGTGAATAACTTTGAGTGAGACATACCTTTCCTTTCTCCTTTGTATGCTTGTACACATTGAGAACACTGGGCTTCAATATCGCTTGAGGGAGGGATACTTATCTTTAATTGTTTTCATAGTGTAGTTTTAATTGCTTTCTTAGGATTATTGTACGGTTTGTACCATTTATTAGGAGTGAGAGTTTACGTGCAACGAAAAAAAATGTATAGCTTTCTGTAGACATCTACTATTGGCCTCTTGTCCTGACAGGAAGTGTAATGACGATAAATAAAACCATCTTTGTGTTGAATCAAAGTGAAGAATACTTACGGACAACTAGTTAAACCACAAAACACCAAAAACTAGCCGCAATTAAAGAAAAAGCCAAAACAAAGGTCCAATTAACTAAACCCAATCATAATTAAGCTTAAGTCCGTGCTTAAACCCTAATAATGACGGATTTAGCAGCGCCTAGGTTAAATCTTAGTGCTGCCGCAGAAAAAGCCGTGCGCATCTTAAAGAGTCGTGCTGGGCTGCTGCGCGCGACACCCAGCGCAACCCCCAGAATCGCGCTGCGGAATATTCAGAATTATACGGAAAATATAAAATCGAATCTTACCATAAAGCCGCGTGCAAGATAATTAGTTGCGCTACCCTTAGCAGCGCAACCAAATCACTTGCACTAGGATGCCGCGTGCAACTCATTCTGTTGCGTGCGACACCTGTTGCGGCAGAATGCTCAAAACCCTAAACCTAATTATTCCCTATAAATACGAGCTTAGACTGAGGCTTAAACAGACAGCAATTAACCTAAAACTCTGGAGAAATACTTGTGAACTTGTGCAACCTAGCCCCTCTTGTCCTAAACACTCACCCCTTTTGATAATTTGTTACTACGGTGGAGGTTCCCCAACAACAAGGAGTCCATAAATGTTCTAAACGGAGATATAGAAAAGAGAAGTGGCAAATTCCCGAGCATTTAGTTAAATCACGTTTATTTTCTTGTTTAAAAGGACTTTAATTAATTAATTAGTGTTGTTTGATCACCTTTAAAATAATTAATTAATCAATTCCACATAGTACTTGCGTTAAATAAAGATTAGAATTGAATTAAATAATTGTTGGTTGATCACTTAAGCCAAGGCAAATCTTGTTTATTTTATTATCCTTTTCACGAATTTAATTACATAAGAATAACGACATTACGATGTAATTCCTATGTGAATTAATTCTTGTAAATAAAATTAACTACCATAGTTTTAGGTATCGCGTTGCATATATTGTTTGGTGATGAAATTTGTAAAAATAGAAGAGCTAGTAGAGGCTGCAGTAGGGCTAGGATAACGATTTCCCTCTAAAAGGAACGTTATTTTAGAACCCTTGCTCCTGAACTCATTTTTGGTTTATAGACCAATTTGGGCATGGGAAAACTTATGATTTGTGCTAATTATTCCATGAACTCCACATGGAAGAAAGGCATGAACGAGGTTTATGAGTTTTTCCTAAAACTCATTGGCGACTCCTATTTGTTTCTTACAAAAAAGCGTAATGATAGAATCAATTCTAATTCAAGGTCTGGTTCTTCTATGGTTCAAGTTTGGAATAAATTGAAGAATGTCAAAGCTAAAGTGAAGGAATTGAATATTAAGCACTTTAGTAATGTGGATTCTAGAATTGATGCTGCTCAGGCATCTTTGGAAGAGGTGCAGGTGAAGCTAAATGAAGATATTGATCCTTCTTTCATCCTTGCTGAGACTGATTGTATACAACTAGTGAAATATTAGAGATTTGTTCAAGAAAATATTTACAAACATAAATCTAGAGTTGAATGGATTAAGTTGGGAGATGGTAATACTCATTATTTTTTCTCTGTAATGAAGTATAAGTAGAGTGTTAATAGAATTGATTCTATTTACACTGCTGGTAATATTCTGCTTAAGAAACCTGATGAGATTGAGCATGAGATTGTTGGGTTTTACAAAAATTTGATGGGCTCTGCTGCTAGTTCTTTGCCTGCAGTTGATCTAGTTACTTTGAGAAATGGAAGGCAACTGTCTGTTTCTGCTCAGCAATCCCTTATAGCTAATGTGACTACTGGTGAAATTGATGAAGCTATAAAAGGAATTGAAGCTACCAAAGCTCCTGGCATTGATGGCTTTAACTCTTTCTTTTTTCATAAGTCTTGGCATATTATCAAGGCTGATATTTATGCTGCTGTTTTTGAGTTCTTTAGAACTGGGGTTATGTTCAAAGCCTGGAATTGTACTACTATTACTCTGTTTCCTAAAGTTCAAAATCCTTCTTTTGCTAAGGATTTCAGACCCATTGCTTGCTGTACAGTTGTATACAAGATCATTTCCAAGATTTTGACAGCCAGAATTGCAAGAATTGTAGGGGAAGTTGTTGATGAAGCTCAGGCTGGGTTTATCCCTGGTAAACATATATGTGTTAATATTCTTTTGGCTACTGAGTTGATCAAGGGTTACTCTCATAAGAATATCACTCCTAGGTGCTTGATAAAAGTGGATTTAAAGAAAGCTTATGACTCTATTGAGTGGAGTTTCTTGGAAACTGTTTTAGCTGAGTTGGGATTTCCTAAACTTTTTTATTGGATGGATTATGAGATGTATTACTACTGTCTCTTTTTCTGTTCTCATTAATGGAGTCCCTTCTCCTCCTTTTGCTGCTAACAAAGGGCTTAGTCAAGGTGATCCTATGTCCCCCTTTCTTTTTGTTATTGGTATGGAGTACCTATCAAGGTGTTTGGATGAGCTTGATACTGTTCCTGATTTCAATTTTCACCCTAGGTGTGAAAAACTTCATTTGAGTCATCTCATGTTTGTTGATGATTGGCTGTTGTTTGCTAGAGCTGATGATTGTTCTGTCAAATTGCTTCTTCAAGCTTTCACTAAATTTTCTTTAGCCTCAGGTCTCTCTGCTAATTTAGATAAGAGTGAAGCCTATTTTGGGGGGATTTATGATCAAGCTCAGGGTTCTTTGCTGAATATCTTGGGTATGGTTCCTGGTTCCATCCCTTTTAGGTATCTTGGAGTACCCTTATCTTCTAAAAAGCTCACTATTGGTGGTTGGGATAAGGTGAGGAAAGGGCCTGGAGTGCAAATTAAGAAGATCTATAGGTGTTTGAGACCTCAAGCTCCTAAGGTTCCTTGGAAAAGACTATTTTGTAATAGTCATGCTTCTCCAAAGAGTATTTTTATCCTTTGGCTGTCTTTATGGAACAGGTTAATGACTAAGGACATGCTTCTGTCTTGGAATTGGCAATGTGACCCTATTTGTGTTCTTTGCCTTACAACTGCTGAGAGTGTTAGTCACTTGTTCTTTTAGTGTAACTACTCTACACAAATCTGGCAGAGAGTTCTTGATCTAATGAATTGCAGAAGAAATGTGCAGAATTTCAGCCATGAAGTTGCTTGGACCCTCAAATTTTGTAGGAAAACTAAAGCTGCAGGAAGACTGTTTATAATGTTCTTTGCTGAAACGTGTATGCTATTTGGTTTCAGAGAAACAACACTGTTTTTACTGGATGTTGTTCACCTGCAAAAACTGTTGTGATGCTGACAGAAAGCTACTTATAATGTAATTTGCTGTTTCTATTCTGTTTTCTATTGTTTGTGTTTTTTTGTTGCTGTTTTGTTTTTCTTAGGTTGTTTGTCTGGTCCTGGCACCTAGAACCCTTCCTAGAAGGTGGCTAGGTGCCTGAGTCTAATAGTTGTTCCTGTTCTCTCCTAGATTCCTTCCTAGAAGGTGGCTAGGAGTGTTCTTGGAACTAGTTTGGTGTTTTGTTGGCCTTTTGGTCTTGTGGTGTTTGTAGTTGTTGTTGCCTAACTTTTGTAAGCAATAACTTTGTGTTGTTTTGCTTCCTTTTGATAATAAAAATCTCTATTTACCAAAAAAAAAAAAAAAAAAAAATCTAATTCAAGGTCCCCCAAACAGTCAGGAATTTAAATCATACTGCACCCTAACAAGTGTAAATTCCTAGGCTTTTAAGTGGCCAAGGGCATTTAAGGAGAGTACCCCTTACGATGGGATCACCCTCTTTACAGTGGCGACTCCACTGGGGACTTAGAGGTTACAAAATTAATTCGTTGTTATGGTCCAAGGTTTCCAACACTAGGTTGCCTATGGGTTGTAACGAGAATTAACTTGGATAATCTCTAGTTAGAGAGCGAGACTTGAACGCATAATATCTTCCTTTTGCACAAGAGTAAAAACCAAACAATCAACATAGCATCATGCATAAGCATAGCACACTTAAACCATTGGGGATTGGCTCATTGACTAGGGGTAGCCAACACTAGACTTCTATCCTGAAATCAATAACAATCATCCCACCCATATCACCAACAAAATGTTGGGAGGGCGATGCCATGAGTCAACATGTTGAGTGATTGATTTGTGTGTCGTTTATTAAGATATGGTACCTTTGGACACCCAAGCCTTTTTGACCTTAGAACAGCATTGCGTGAATCTTGACTTATAGCATGCTTATGTGATTATGTGACTATATGCAACGTGTTAGGATAGTCTTTTTTTTTTCTCTTTTAGGTTTGGTCTAGGTTCCCAATTACGAAGTTGTCTCTTCGTGATTTAGCGTCATATTCAAAGGATAACATAAAAAAAATCAAATAAAAAAAATCGAATAAAAAAAAACGAAACGCTAGGATTAAAAAAAAATTTACGAGCAGGTTGCGCGACCCCTCCCAGCGTAAGTGATTTCGTTGCGCGCGCCCAGTGGACGAGTCAGTTTTGATTTCTCAAAAAACAAATTAACTCGTCCGAACAATATCTTCATTGAAGAATTGTTAAGGGCGATGTTATTCGTTTGAAAATATTTTGCGTCTTTTTCTTTTTTCCTTTTTAAACAAGCGTATCGATTTACTTATCCTATCGTACTCCTTTAGGGCCGGTTTTCAAGCTTGGGAAAGAGTACCCCCGGGCACTCGCATTCTACGTTTACCACCCAAAGATCAACCCCTTTCAAACCAATTTTCTTTGACAACTAATCCTAGTCCAACAATGATGCCAACCATTGAAGAACTTCAACAAGAGATTCTTCGTTTGAGAGAGGAAAAGGCTCAAGAGGCCAAGGAGATAAGAATTAAGAAAATAGAAAATGCTGAAAAGAAAAAAGCTGAAAATTTAGCCTTACAAGAAAACATGAACAATTATCCATCAAAGAAAAGTCGTTGGAGAAGCTAGTTCTTCGTTTTACAATGGGGAACAAGTACTTTGACGCAGAAAAGTTTGCTTCTCCTCCAGGACTTCCATTACCAAAAAAGTTCGTAGCTACGGACTTGCCAATATTTAAGGTGACCAGTAATCCACAAAATCATTTAATGTGTTTTACTGGCACTATGGAACTAAAGGGAGTTGATCCTAAGCTTTATGCTTTGACTTTCCCTTATCCCTAGACCCAACCGCGAGAGAGTGGTACTATGGGCTAGATCCAAAATTCAAAGCAACATGGGAAGATGTAGTTTCGGCTTTCATTACCTTTACGTGAACTAGAGATGCTTTAGCAAGGCGACGATGAAGGTTTCCTTGCTTTCTATGGTAGATGGCGAGAAAAGGCGGCCCACCTTTCCCAAAGGCATCCTGAAATCAAGTTAGTATAAAAATTCATTGACAACTGTCATGAAAAGTACAACAAACATCTACGTTACCTTGGTCTAGACACTTTTCAAAAAGTCTATTTTGTGGCTACTAGGATTGAAGATGATTTTGCAAAAGAAAAAGCAAACAAACTTCATCATCATCATCAACCTAAGAATAACTACAAGAAGGGGAATGATAATGCATCATCCTTTATTGACGTATTTTGCGACTTCCACGCAATACAATAACACAAATCGATATGACAATCCTAGAAAAAGATGGTCAAAAGAAAGAAAATTTACTCCATTTCCTATAACCTATAAAGAATTGTTAGAAAAATTAAATGAAAAAGCTTACTTTTGCCAACAGGGCCAACACCACCCACTCCACCAGAAAGAAGTTTTCCTCAATAGAATGGTAGTGCTTATTGTGCTTATCATAGAGGCGTTGGACATGATAATGAACGTTTCCATGTTTTAAAGCACAAAATACAAGATTTAGTAGACGATGGGAGAATTCCCACGCCTAAGCCTAAAAAAAATGCATCCCCTTTAGGGGTGTTTCATATCGATGAGGACCATATGGGAAGTGATACGTTCAATCCTTTGAACTATATCACACCTATAGGAGAACCTCTATCCACAATACTCATAGGGGCAACTAATGAAGTATGTGGACTATGGGACGACGACTTTCAAGACTTATTCGTCTCTAAGTATGCCGTCGTCCCACCTCCATCTTGTTTATAAAATGAAACAAATGGAGCTCTTGATTGGGATCATTTCTTGGGAAAGTCGCAAGACTTATCGAATCTCTCCTTGGATGAACAATGGCATCAAGCACAACTCATGGAACATCTTGAAATGGAGGCATATCCAAATCCTCTAAAATAAAGTTGGTTTATGAGTTCTAAAACTAACCCAAATGAGATAGATCATTTAACTCATTCTGGGCGAATCTACCAAGCACCACCACTAAATGGATCATCGACCACACAAAATCAAACTCAAGTTCAAGTACAAAATCCAATACCACCTCCACTTTAGGTGGAAGATCCATTGGTCAAACAACTTCGCCAATCCAAGGCGAATGTTAGCATTTGGGAACTCCTAAGTACTTCTAAAGAACATAGAAATTCTCTCATGAACGCTCTAACGGATTTGTTTGTAAGCACAGACACAACCCCTCAGGATCTCGTTAGCTTGCTTACTAGCGAGAAATCCGACAAATCTATCATTTCTACTAATGATGATTTGCCTTCAAAAGACACTACCCACAATAATGCATTATACTTAACTGTGGGATGCAAGGGATACAACATCCCCCTAATTTTGGTAGACAATGGGTCGGCTGTAAACGTATGCCCATTACGAACGGCAAAATACTTAGGCCCAAATCCAGAAAAAGATTTCCAATCAACAAAACAAAGCTTAGGGCCTATGACAGTTCGAGAAGATCGGTTTGTGAAACTGTTAAGCTACCAATTACCACATGCCCAATTCAAAAGATGGTTGAATTCCATGCTATGGACATAAAGCCTACAACCTTTTACTTGGACGTCCTTGGATACATAAGCTTGGTGCAATACCATCCTCACTTCATTAAATTATTAGGTTGAACGATCAAGGGCTTTCTATGACTATACATGCTTCTCCACTCAAAATAGCAATAAATGATCAATCACTCTTAGAAATAAACCATGATAATGATGAAGAGGACATGTGGGGATTCACCGTGGAGCCAATCTTCACAATTGTAATGGAAGAAGACTTTGAAGAACCATTCAAGCTTAATCCATATTCCACTCGGATAGTAAACAACATCTTGCTCAAGAGTAGTTACTTTCCTGGGATGCTTTTGGGAATAGGAATGAAGAAATCTCTCTTACTTCCTATCCGAAAGAAAAGCTTCTCCTTTAGAATGGGATATAAACCAACCAAAAAAGAATTAGAGTCTCACGATGAAAAAAACAAAGCACGTAGAGACAATAATAAGAAAGGGATAATCACCTTACTCCCATCCTATCAACAAACCCTTAATGGGAAATTCATTAGGGAGGGAGAAGATTACCCATGCTACGACTTTCCAGAACCCTTAGTTCTGGAAGGAGTCAAGAAGCCTGGATTTTAAATATTTCATGATTGCTACTTCTTGGATAACGATCTTAGTATCGTTAAATCAAAACACCCAATTCCAGGGTGCTATGATGGGCAAGCATTTAACTTGCTATTTGGACTAGAGCAAAATCATGACGCTACAATCACCAATCAAAACGCCATTTAAGATGAAGCTTTTGACCCAACCTCGTTGATCACCCTTTCAAATGAAACTTTTGAGCATGGATGGAGGAAATCTTTCAAATGGACCAATCACAAAGGCGATAAACTGGAAATCGTCAAAGGAGAAGGGAAGATGTTTGAAGAATCGGACGATGAATCTATTATAGACTCTAGGGATGCTGAAAATTTAGGCCTTGCGGCCATTACTGAGTCTTTATTTTCTAGCTCTAAGGACGAAGATCCCAAAAAGGATTCTTCTCTTGATGTACTCTCGTTTCATTTTAATAATATGAGCTCTATTTCCGAGTATATGCCTTCTCTTGAATCTTTCAAATGCTATAACAATCAATCTAGTGAAGATGATAACATTGATAAATTGGTTGAACTAATGAATGAACGAGAACAAAAGAACCCTATCGTTGAAGAAACTGAAATAGTTAATATAGGAACTAATAAAAATAAAAGAGAAGTCAAAATTGGCTTAACTCTAAATCTGGAAGAGCGATCGACCCTCATATCGACGCTCAAAGAATTCAAAGAATGAAACCTGGAATAGATAGGGAAATTGCGAAACATACCATTCCCTTGAACCCTACCTCTAAACCAGTAAAACAAAAACTTCAACGAATGAAACCTGATGTTGCTTAAAAATAATAGAAGAAGTACAAAAACAGTTGGACGCCGATTTTATTCGCGTATGT